CTCCTCGCCAGGCCCGGGGAGCAGCGCCCTGGGTGCCGTGTAGGCATGGCGCCCCGAGCCTGGAACCCACTGGTTCTTGCCAGGGAGACCGCAGGCCCACAGACGCGGAAGCAGGAGGCCAGAGGGGTGGGCGCTGGGGACGCCCTTGTCACCCCAGAGCCCTCCAAGGCAGAGGTGGCCAGGGGGGGTACAGAAGCAGAACCAGGTGCGGGAGGTGGCAGAGCCTGGGCCAGGGTCGGGGGCTGCGGGCAGGGCCCCGGGGAGGTGCGGGGGCGGGGGAGGCAGAGCCACCGGGAATGTGCCTGGGGCCTCTGTGCCTGGGAGCGCACAGCCCCCGGGGCCTCGGCGCTGGCAGCGGGCCTGCTGTGAAGGGGGCACCCGTGTGGAAGCAGTTCCGTGTTTTTTAAATCCATCATCTGGGATTAGACGCCCATTCACATGACCTTTGTCCCTTCTTGCCTGGAACCCCTGAAGCAGGAGTTAATAAATCCTGGAGGAAACTGAGGGGCCGGGAGGTCTGGGCGCGGCCTCCACCGGAAGAGCGTTGCCCTGAGCAGAGAGCTTTGTGCCCGGGCGGCCCCACGTCCCCCGTCTGCCCCCCGCGCTCCTGGCTTCCCTCTGCCAACGGCACCCCCTCCCTTCCGGAGTCTTAGTGGCGAGGCTGAGTTAGACGGTCACCGTCCGTTACCTGCAGTGGCAGCATCGGTCCGGCGGGTGCTGCTCAGCCCGTGCTGTTCCCAGGGCCGTCGGACAGCGTGGGACCAACGCCCCCCCCCGTTGTAAGGCGAGTGGTCCTCCAGCTGCGATCCCAGAGCCAGCGGCCTGGGCGTCACCGGGCCCCCTCGCTCCTCCAGATCTGCCCGCCCTTCTGCTTCACAGGGTTTGGTCTCTAAGGCAGAGGTTTTCACCTGGGGAAGCTTGGACAGGTTCAGGGGGTCCTGGAACCTTCTACGACTGAGTGCAAAACTGGGTAGAAGGAGTATTTTCTGGAGAGACCATTCAGATGCCCTGGGAGCCGAGTGCTGCAGGCTGCAGAGGGCCTCTGTGTCCCCCGCCCCTCTTCAACGACAAGGACTGGCTGGCAGCCCTGGGAAGGGCAGGGCAATGGCACCAGGGGCTAGAGGCCCAAACGCGGGCAGCTGTGTGCCCTCCCTCGCCTGAAGGCCGTCTGTCCCCCTGGGGGTTTCCTGCCCAGAGCTAATGGGCATTCACGCAGGCTTGCGGGGGCGGCCTCACCGGGTGTCACTTCCCACCCACTGCAGGAGGCGGGGTGGGGGGGTGTCTGCAGCATCTCGACCAGACCAGCGGCTTTGCTTACACCATCCCGATTAACCCTCACAGCCCCCCCACGACATCGTCTTGTTCCACATTAAAAAACGGAACCGCAGGGAGGGAGGGAAGAGCGGTGACTTGCCGGGGGAGGGGGCGGCTGGGAAGGGAGCCTAGGTGATTCTGATGGCTGTCACTGTGCTGTCACATGTCGGGCAGGGGTGGGAGGTAGTGGGGCACAGGGAAAGTGGCTCCGAGACATGGGGTGGTGGTAACAGAGATGCATCATGGAGCAGGATGGAAAACTTAAAAGCTTGTTTTGGTAAAAGTGCAGTAAGGCTTCAAAAAAGTGGGTCGGTTTGGCTCTGTGCTGACAGCTCAGGGCCTGCAGCCTGCTTCAGATTCTGTGTCCCGCCCAAGCCCCAAAATAAATAGACATTAAAAAAATTTTTTTTAAACCCCAAACAGTGGATTGGTGGCCTTGGTGTCCTGCACCGGTTCCTCTGAATCCCACGCTCCTGTCAGCTGTCAGGGGCCCCCTCCACGCCCTTCCCAGGGGTCCAGCCTGCTTGCAACAGCCCCCAAGCTGGTCCAGGCCCAACTCTTCCGCTCCACACTGCCGGGGGCAGCTCCTGAAAGCACCCAGGGCAGGGGGGACAGTCCCCCTGGAGTGTGACTTGTATAGGAAAGATAAAGTGCCCCTGATGGAATCCTCTCGAAGTCTTCATAAACGTGGCCACATTTGGGCTTTGGGAAATGGTGTAGCGACCTATAGGGCCCGGAGAGGAAAAAGATCGCTCCCATCAAGAAACTGAATTAAGATTCATTTATTCTAGGGCAAACTCAAAAGGGTTTTTTTTTTGTTGTTGTTTTCTTTTTTAGCAAATCCTAGCACATTATTAACAAAAAAATCTGTACATTTGCCATGATACACTTGAAAGTGAAACAAATAAGATATAAATACAGATATGGATGTAACATGAAAAGCCCCCCAAAAAACGAAAACAAAACCCAAAAACCCAACCTGGGGGTGTGGGGACATGCGTGTGAACACAGTGCCGACAAAACTATTTTGGTGGCTGCTAGTTTTCAGAGCATTTTTTTTTTCGTTTTCCAAACATCATGGTTAGCAAAGTCCTGGTGGGATTCTACCAAGTTCTTATCTGTTCTTTTATGTGTAGTAGTATGCTCGATAAATAAAGGGCGGCAGGGGAAAAAAATCAGACTGATGAGAACAAAGCCGGCTGCATTACCTGCGCAGGGTGGGGCGAGCCGGCGAGGAGCCATGGAGAGGCCGTCCTCGGCTGTCTGCGGCCCCGCGGGGAAGCACACACGAGTGGACTGAGACTTGAACGAAGCCGCGCCCCCCCCTCCCCCCGGCCGCAGCCCCCGCGGGGCGCACGAGCCCAGAGAGAAGGCCCGAGGGAAGGGGGAGGGCACGGTGGGCGCTTCGGGAGGCCCCCGGACCGTCGGGTAACCGGGAGGCAAACAGTTCTGCAGTGTCGGGTGTGCAGTCCGAACAGGAGCCCTGCAAGGAGGCGGCGGGCGGCTCGCTCCCGGTGAGGTGCTGGCAGCATGCGTGTCTCCCGGCGGCGGCGCCGGGGGGGCAGCAGTTCCGAGCGCGGCCCAGAGACCTGTTGGTGACTGTATCTCTCTCTAGGTTGGGAGGCTGAAGGTCGGGGAGGTGACATTCGAGGCTAGCCCTTTGTGAGTGCTATGAGGACATTCGGCGATGTTCGAGGTTCTTCCCAGCTGCGGGGGGGGGGGGGCGGGGGGTGAGAGCAGGAAGTTGCAGAGTTCAAGGGGAACGGTCTTTCCGAACGCAGGAGGCACACAAGAACTCATAAATAACCTAGCAGAACGCACATTTCTACAACAGAGAAGTAATCAAAAGGTGCCCTGACACACTTGCTGAGTGTGAAAAGGAAACCCCCGTAGTGAACTAGTCACAGACGGTGTTTATCGATGAGAGTAAGGCCTGGTCCTGCTATGTTCTGAGCCAAAAATAAGTCAATAATATTCAACCACTTAAAATGCACCCCTGAAGTTCCTTCAACAGCAGCAGTGGGGTACTTCCCTCCAAGCGCAAGATAGCCCCACACCTACACATACACACCTACACACACACACACGCCCGCCCGCCCGCACACTCACTCACACACGCTCTCTCTCAGTGAAGGCACCCTGGCTTCACTGTCCTGGACCTCTGCTGTCAGTGCCTAGTTCCAATAAAGTATCTAAAATAACTTCTGAGTGAAAAGGACTTCCAGGTGCTACAGCGTTGCAACTTCCAAACAAGGCGGGGGGGGGGGGG